GCACTTTTTCGTACTTTTGCATAGATTTAACTGATTATATTTTAGTACTTTCACCAGTATATTTTAGCTTGTTGCACTTTGTTGTATGCACTTTATTTTGTTGCACCATGTTGTGTGAAAAAGTCACATTGTTGTCTTAAAGACACAGCGAACCTTTTTAAAACAATTCTTTCTGTTTTGAGGGTAACTTTAATGGATTATTGCACTTTATAGGTGCTGCTATACTTGCAGAAGAAAATTGTTTTGCACAAATAATTTAAAAAAGACTGTATTTTATTGACTGACTGTGCACATATTTTAGTACTTTCCACCAGTATTTTTGTGCTTGTTGTACTTTATTTTATTGCACTAATGCATATGTCATATTCATGTTGTGGCTAATCAGTATGTATCAAATGTTTACAACTCAGAAGTGGCAAGTCAACACAGTCATATTAACCATTTTCCTGCTATTTGGGTTTCTGAATGGCCTTCCCTTATATTTTTTTTTGTACTGAAAGTCACCCGACCTGAATTAGAATTATTTTGCCAAAGTGGTTTGGAAATGTTTCACTTTGCACAAGTCTATGTAACATTTTTTTTAGAGATCACAGTAACTGCTATGACTGATTTTGTGCCATAGTTTGACTGTGGCAAGTGCTTGAGGTTCCTTCCATAAGGAAACATTGCACCGTGGGTCAAATGTTTATGCTATTTAAAGATATGATTGTTATGAGCAAAAACATAAGGTAGGGCCATCCAACTAGCTGAAGTGTGTATGACAGTGTGCGTCCTTGATGTGAATAATACACACTTACAATTAGTTGAATTTCACTGTCTTTGAGATGTAAGCTGACAGGCACTCACACAAAAACTCCCTGTAGTGAGCTTCATGCTGGGCTTCAATGAGGAGAATTATTTTAAATGAAAGGCTCTCCTTTCTGCGACTAAAAAGCTTTATCCATGGTAGCAGCAGTGGGTTAATGCACTCACAACCTCTAGAGTCCCAGGTTAAAATGTTCCTCGGAACACATTTGGTGGTCTTACTGAGGTTCTGATAAAGAAGTACCAGGGAACAACAAAAAATATTTTTTTGTCTTGGTACATCTTTTCTGTGTCACAAGTCATTACATGCGAGTTATTTTTTTAAATTATAAAATGTAATGAAATGTTTTATAAAATAAATCACAATTTAGACTTATGTATAGTAGTGCTATTCCATAAGCAATTGCCAAAAACGAATTTGCTTTCCTAAAAATTCTTAATTATTGAATGTTTTTAACCATTCTTTTTCTTTTTTTATTTGCTTTTTTTTTTTTTTTTTGAATGAAAAGTAAATCTTACTAGAAGAAGATAGCTGTGCCTGTGAGGGAGTGGTTAAACCTCACCTTTACCTAGCCCCCTGTGGCCACTTGGCCCATAGTGGCGACGTTACCATCTGGAATCTTTGCGAATTCAGACGGTGACAAGCATAAAAGCACAAAAATGTTAAGAAATTAATTTATTTTTATTTTTATAAAGATAATTTCAAGGCATTCAATACAATAGCTAAACACTGACAGTAATTGACCAAAATAATATGAATTTCATATTAATATCTTTTAATATTTGTGGGATTACTACTAATGATGGAAGTTGGATTTGTGGAGCTACCACTATTGGAGAGAACTGCTACCTGGTAGAAAGTCACAGATCTATAGTAATGTTTTCTTACTGTCCTCATGCTGGAAGTTAGGTTGCGAGGATACACATTTCATAAATATTACCAAGGTCAAATAACAATATTCCTCCACAGCCTCTGGAACAAAGACGGCAAGGAAAGATTGTCTTGCTTGAATATTGTTGATAAGCTTAGAAAATGGTTTAATATTTTTGGATAAAGTTTTAACATTTTTATATCAACATATTAAAATGTCAATAAAATATATATATATGTGTGTGTGTATATATATATATATATATATATATATCATAATATTGAATACTTTTCAATGTTTCTCCAAAAATATGAAATCAGTAATCACTTGGAATGCTAATTCAACAATATTAAATAGAGACCATAGTAAGAAGAGAGGCTTAGGAAATACTAAGTGGAAGGTAGAAAGGACTGGCTGGAGAAAATATTGTACCGAGCTTGAATGAAGTATGTTGAAAGAGTGAGATAAAATGTGACGTATAAATAGTTTATTAAGTGGGGAAATAGAACATTGGTCAACATCAGTGTTCTCCCTTTGACATAAAGCCAGTTTCAGTCCAGCTTGTTATTTTAAATATTTTTTTACTGAAACACTTTTGTTGACAAGTGAATGATGACTAAAGGTGGTTATACTATCCAACACTCACCACAGCATTTCTAAACATTTAGAAACTGGAAGAAATGCCCAGTGTTTCTGTTCTTTTTAATGTTTAAATAATAACATATCTTTTAAATAAGAGGTTTTTTTTTTTAATAACATTTCTTTTTCTTTCTTCCATCCATATGCTCACACAATTCCCATCACACACCAGAATAAGTAATGGAACTGGTGAAGGGATGCTGGAAAATGTTTAAGGAAAATTAAAAATGGTGAAGAGAAGGAGAGCTTTAGTGGAATTAGGCTGAAAAGGCTAGTGTAGAGAATTAAGAGAAGTAGCCAAAAGTAGAGAAGTAGCCAAAAGGTAAGAGATGAAAAACTGTGAAACAGAGACTAAGGAGCAATGGTTATTAAAATTGACAAGGCTTGTGAGGTTTTGGAAAGAGCTGGATAGAAATAATAGACTGAGAAATGAAGGAGAAAGACTATAGGTTTATAGTTGGAAAAAGACACAGAAAACAAAAAGGGACCAACTGGCAGCAGAAAAGTGACCGTTCAAAAACTTAGAACTAGTAGGGATGTGCATGGGAAAAATATTCGGTTTGGCAGTCCGAAATTCGGGACTTCTGCATTTCGGTTATGCACTTTGACACTTCGGAACTTCGGGTAGGGTTAGAGGTAGGGTTAGGGGTAGGGCTAGGGTAAGGGTTAAGAATAGGGTTAGGGTTACCCTACCCCTACCATAACCCTACTCCAACCACTACCTCTACCCCTAACCCTACCCCAACCACTAACCTTACCCGAACCCTTAATCCAAACCCTACCCCTTACTCTACCCCTAAACCTAACCCTACCTCTACCTCTACTCCAACCACTAACCTACCCTAACCCTACCCCAATCCCTAACCCCAACCCTCTCCTGTGTTGCAACTTTGCAGAAATCCGAAGCACTTTGGCACTTTCGAAATTCAGCACTTCAGCAATTTGGAAATCTGGCACTTCAGTTTGGTTTGGCATTCCGAAATTCGGCACTTAGGACCTTCGGCACTTCGGCAATTCCGTTCGGTTCGGCATTCCAAAATTCGGCACTTTGGAAATTTGGCTATTTGGCAAATCGCCACTTTGTCACTTTGGACATTCGGAAGCATCCGAATGTCCGAATTTCTGAAATTTGTCCAAATTTGCATTCGGAACAAAACAAATTGCACATGTCTAATAACTAGGAGTTCGATAGAGCAGTTTCCTCTGTTGCTGTGTGAGGGGTGTGCATGGAATACCTTTCCATGGCTCATGCAGCACCCAGCATGAAGAGATTGGGCAGACAGTATTGTCTGCTCCCTGTCCCAATTCTACTCAGAACAGGCAGGATGGGTTGTGGGAGAGACACTTAATGACAGGTTCACTTTAAGTTCATTGTGTTCTTGTTTTCTTATGTTGAGGCAATATGACTTCTGAAAACATTGGGCTATTTCTAAGAAACAATATTGATCCTTGATAAATTATGTGCTAGAAATAAAGCTTTTTGCCGCCTCAGAAGTGAATACAAGAGATTTGTTCACTAATAGATGTTTTGCTTTACTGTTGGAAAGTTATCAGATCTGGGGAAAGAGGTTACACATTTTTTAATAGTCGCTTAGGGATTGGCCTTTTTTTTTGTCTCAGTACATGCCTTGCAGTGTGCACTCCTCCCCAATAGCTCATTTGACCATGACTCCAAACCCTTGACTAGACAATACTAAGTCTCCTTTTCCCTTGACAGTTCTTGTTTTCTCAATTATTTATTCCTGACTGCCTCCCTCCTAATCCAATAACACAAAGGACACGTTGACCGCAACATGACAGACCTCCCTCTCTTGGTTACTTGAGAAGCCAATAAGGCAGTATTAAAGGATTCTTATATTAAGCAGTAATCTATTCATAAAATAGAAAAGTCCCAGAAGAATTATCATTTATATTTGAAAAGAGAAGGTTCTATATGTTAGAAAAGTTTTATTGGGGACACCTGGGAGAAATTCTCAACAAACAATATTATACAATATTTAACAAACATCAATAAGTGTAGATGGCAACTGGCACACATTACTGATTTTAAACATTCTGTCCTTCTACATTTCTAAAATAAAGTACTCCAAATGTCTGGAACATCTTGTCCCAAGTAAAATAGAAGTGTTCTATGAATATTGCCATTTTCTCGATAATTCATCATCCTTCCATAAGTCGCTTTCACAGTCTCTGAACTGACAGATATATTTTCAACAATACTTTCAAAATCCTGTATTTATAAAAATGTGGTACTTTTTAATGGTGGGGAATTTTGGTCATCATCTGGTAAAAAGCCAAAGTGAGCTTAGTACAATCTGGATATAACGTCCAGACTCTACTAATCAAATGAGTGGAGCGCTAAAGGTATAAACTTACCATAAAATAGGGCTAATTTTTAACTCAATTATATTTGTAAGCGCACTATACACAGTAATCACCAATCTGTGTGTTTGTTATCATCTGGTAAAAGCCCATAATGGTAAGATCTTCCACTATCTTAGTACAAGACCATTCTTCGATCCCCTCAAATATTGTGTGGAAGGTCTCAATTCATTAAAAGGGTTGACCATTTTTTTTGCTTTTTCCTTTTTTGTTTTTATTTAAAACTATCTGCATCTCACAACTTCCAAGTTTGCTTCACCATGATGAGACAAGTTTTGTTTTAGACCTGGAAAAATGAAATAACTCCATACAGCTTCTTTACATCATTTACAAGGATGCATTCCTCCTTCTACCCACATATGATAAACACGCATTTCACAGAATTCCTGTTGCTCATATTCACTACACCGCAACATATGGGATTTAGTACAAATATTATATATTGGATCCAGTCTCTTTATAGGTCAAATCTACAGTTCTTTGTCCTATCACCTACCCATAGGCAATGGAACAATGGTTCCAGCTGCCCACTTTCTGTTTGACCTGACCCAAGAATCATTTTCATTTGTCACATCCTTTAATCTACATCAAACATTCACAGATTGTTGTTGCATCCTATACTGATGGCATGTTATTTATAGTCATCCAGATGGCCATTATTTTACCTAATATCTTAAAAGGAATATAACATTTATGGAAATATACCCAGTTGGATATCAACAGTATACTAGACATTTTGAACATTTCCCATTCCTCTCATATTAGTAGACACACTTAAAACATATTTTTCCATTTAATCGTATATTGCAAAAAATTTTTATATCTGGTTATATAGATCAACTATCCCGACTATTTAAGCTTAATATCCTGCAGGAACTATTTAAAGGATGGGTGTAAAAACGTATCCTCTTCAGAAAACGCATCCCTTTTTAGTTTAGTCAAAAGTGTCTTTTTTTCATCTTACTATATGTATATCTGTTTAGACCACATTATTCTTTATCCTACGAAGCTTGCTAGCAAAGATGACAGCTTAGCTTTACTTTACTCACCATCAGCACAGAAAAGCCAATTATAGATCATGCTGCTTATATCCTTAGTTAAAGAAAGGGATATTTACAGAAATAAAAACAAGGAAATATAATTCTCTAACTAGAGGGTTGTTTTATCAGTATGAATAGCTGTTAAACTTTCTAGGTTCATATTTGTATAAACATTATCTTCAAGGGTGTAATACTTAATGTGCACGGTATCAACTGGTTGATCCCAAAAAAACCCCCAAAAAACAGAACACTATTTTTCACTAAATAGATTTCCTTCTTGGAACACAATATGAAGTCACTAAAGGGGAAATTTTCATCTTCTTTTGGATCAATGGCAATACTAGAGATACATGAAAGATTTTTTTTTAATCTAACATGACTATGTGACTATGTGACTTAGAACCATACAACAGTGCCAGTTTGAATATTTTTAAAAATGCATCAATGCTAGGATTGGTCCATGCCAAAAGATCTTCCACTTTTATTTTTTTTGTGCTAAATTCTGGACTGATGTTGCATTTTGACTTGCCATCTAATATAGATTAAGCCTTTTTCTACAGAAGTGTGAAATATTTATGCAAGCATAATTTTAAATGTTTTCTTTTCTCATAAATATTTCAACATAAAGTCTATTTCACAATAAAATGAAAAGTTTGACTTCTGGCAAACTACAAATGTTGCTTGCTTATAAATGCTTATGTTTCATTGAGATATATGTTTTTATGGATTTTTTTTTTAACGATCTATAGCTTATTTTCTATAGTTAGCCTTAGATATTTATATGAATGTTACATAGTTACATAGTTACATAGCTGAAAAGAGACTTGTGTCCATCAAGTTCAGCCTACCTCACATTTGTTTTTTGCTGTTGATCCAAAAGAAGGCAAAAAAATAATGTTGTTATTATTATAGTGCCTAATGCATGGCTGATAATGGAGTGCTCCTTTTTGTACATATAAATTGTTCTACATTTAGGGCTAGTAACTCTTATTGCCAAGTATACTTCATTCTTGGCATCCAAAGATACTTACAGGAGACTTCCACTAGGCAGAACAATGCCATATTAAAGCAATAACACTTAAAAGGGACTCTAACTTTAAACAGGTTCGTTTCCAATGTAAAGAATAGTATGAAGATATGGATTACTAAATCCTTCTTATGTATATTATAGTGATATAATGTAAATATGAGTTTGTGAATCCTTTTTTAATGCAGCTTTAAAAACACTACAGTTTGATATGGCTTTGTATTTCAGTAATAATTATACTCCTTTAGAAGATAATGTGTCCTACCACATCTATTCTAATGACCCCTTCTTATACTTGCCACCAAGATGCAATTTATTTTTTATTTTTTATTCCTAATTAGAAAGCTCTCTGTGCATAGAATTGCTGTGCACTGAGTTTATAGTGCCAACTATCAAACTCACAAACACAGCCTTTTTATTGAGAACTCTTTTCAATGTGCTGGATTAGAATAAGGGCACATCCAGAAGGAATCAATTGATTGATTGATTTCCACTTTTCAAGGGGATGGAATTTACTCCTTTGTCTGAATTAGCATGACAAAGGCAATTGTTACCAACCAAGAGTGTGTTGAAGTTGGTTTATCAGATCTCTAGGTTTGCTATAGTTTTTCATTTCAGTTGACGGGGAAGCAATAATAGGGTGTTGGTTACTCTCCTACATATAGGTTTACGATAAAAATGTTGAAGACATGGACTGTGACATGGAGGGTGTAAAAATATTTATGTACATGAGCCTATCTCAGCTCCAGGGTGTGTACACTTTGTCTAAATTACTCAGCATAAGGCTGTTTTTACAGACCGAACCATCAATGGTCAGTACAATTTAGACAGATTGTGAGGAGTGGAGAACATGGTGCCTGAGAAAGGATGTCTGGCTTTAGTCCTGACCCATCCTTTGTTCTTGTAAAGTGGTCACCTGCCATACGCTACAAAACACAAACTCCAGCCCCTTTAATGTTAACCTTTGGAGTCTTTTCTGATTGGTTTCTACTGTGTTTTAGTTGTTACTGGGTAAGAACAGGGGAGTGCAAAGCCTGGGAAAAAACACAAACTTCACACCCTCTGTATAAGAAAAGAAAAGGCATAAAAAACAAACAATTGTTCATCTCCCGCAAGCAGAAACGATAAAGGAGGGGTGATGGCAGTTAATGAAGGGGAAGTGATAGAGCACAATGTAAAATGCTTAGAAGAAGAAGAGAGTGCAATTCTCTGTCATGGCATGAGGTCAGAGACATATTAAATGTGGACCATATGGTCTAAATTTGCACAGCACTTAACACTCTGTCTTCATTGGAGTCACATTTGTTTCATGTTCAGCACTTTGTTTCAGGCAAAACATTGAACAATGTTGGTAAACAATAGCCTTGTAAATCAAATCAAAATAATTTTTATATTGAAATATAAAAGTTTTACAAACGTGGCTTTAGACATTTTAACCTCTTGCAGAAGATTGATGTACTAGGCCACCATTAACTGCTGGACTTTAAAAAAAAATCATAACATTATATTTCTTGTGTTTTGGAAACTACACTATATAAGTTTAGTTTACTGGACCCAAATGTAGTAGCTGCCTTTATGCTCAAATAAAATTAGGCTATTTTCAAGGTGAGTGTTGTTACAATTAATTAAATATATCTTTCTATATTTCCATGTTTGGTGACCAGAATTATTGCTAGCTTTAGGTTAGTTATTCAGATGCCTAATGCCAAGGGGCCTTGCACTGCATTAGTGATTGTCGGAGTACTAAGTCTGACAGAGTGCTCTAGACTGTTGGTTTGCCCTGGGTGCCCGTCTATGGTCTATGGTATTGGCAGCATGCTAATACTGATGTGTCCTTTCACATCTCGCTCATGTCCCAGCTATAGCGTGGTTATACAGCTGCCCATTTCCCTCTGCTTAGCCGCAGCTTGCAGTTTGTCCAGCATATTTTGGATTGGGACATGATACGTGCCATATCCCTGATTCCTTGTTCTGTCACAACTTGGCTCCAACCCAGTGCTGGGTCTGGGCAGAGGGAAGAGACCAGCAAGGAAATCATGATAATCCTCCATCCCTCTGCAATAGTATGCTATAAAAGAGGTTGGGTAGGGAACAAAAAATGGCATTCATCATTTATTTAATACAGATAGGAGAATGTAATTGTTTGGTAAGGAGGAGACAAAGTACAAGGAGAAACTAGGCAGAAGCACTAAAGGGTGGTGAGGGGGTGAGTCAGAGTGCAGAAGGGTGGTTTAATGGAAAAATCTCACAATTACACACATGCCATAAAGTACCACATACACCACTGTCTAATTTTATGGCAAGACAGGAGGCTTCATATTTGCTTATCTTTCTTTACTGTAACTCCCAGCAGCAAAGAAACAGTTAACAATGTTGTAAGAAAAATTCAACCAATCATAACACATCACAGAAACAATATAGTGCCACCAGACTCTTCCCACTTCCTCTTTCTTTGCTGCTTGCCTCCCAGGTGAGTCTACTCCAATTACATTGCCCTAATGGTTTAGGTTAATTATAAATTTTATTAATATTTTGTTACTTGCACATCTATTTCACCTCAGCAAACTTTATTTTAATTGAGTCACATTTTTCTCTCTCATATATATATTCATTATTGACATACTTTTTACAATTAGTTGATTCACCTTTAAATATTTGGCGCCCTCCGTTTTTTTCATACGGAGGTTTCGCCTGTCTCTTAAATCAGCTGGTCGCGGCTCTCTCCTCAGAGGTAGAGACGCAGCCCATTCTCGATCTATCATCAGCCGCGGACTCTATTTCCCATGAGCCCGCGGCTGCCGTTTCCCGCCTTTACCCTCCTCCCGCCTACTCGCGTCTCCTTTTGTGACGCAGTTTTTTCCCGCCCTCTCAACGGCGGAATCTTGCGGCGGCCATCTTTCAACCGCGGTGCACCTCCCCGCGGCTCCTGTCTCCTCTGCAAACATCTGCGCGCTGATATTCTTCACCTTTTGTGGGAACACCTGTTGCCTATGTTGTGAAAGGTAGGTTGCTGCCATTACTGCTTCAACCTCAATTCATATGTGCATCTCATTAAAACGATCAGTATACTGATCTATATCTTATCTGTTTTTTGCAGGCTTTGCCCCACACAGGACCCACCTGCTACAATCTGGGTGAACCCCTCTCCCTAAATTGAGTGATTAACAGTGTGGCTGACATTGAGTGATTAACATACATTGCCATTCATTAACTTTGTGTGGCTGACTTTTTCTCTGTTGTGGGTGACCCCCACTTACATACTGAAAACACGACTGTGTTCAATATTTGTGTGGCTGACACCACCTGGTTTTATTTTGTGGGTGATCCCCATCTTCTCACTGTACATATTATATATATTATACTGGTGATTTTCACCCCTTCTTTTTTACTCTCCAGTGGGTGACCCCCACCTCATTGCCTATAGTATATCTCTATATTGTTTATTCTGAACTACTCAGTGATTGACCACCACCTGTAATTATTGGATGACCCTCCATTAATTGCCCTTTACAATTTATTGTGCCAAGCAGTTGTGGGTGACCCCCACTGTTTTGACG